ATGTTTAAACCATTTATCAATGCTATATGGTATTGATTAAGCATATCAATGGTTCCTGATACAATTAGACATCGACATGACGAATGTCACCAATCTTTACACAAACAAATTGAAATGGTGACCCACTGTAATGAAACGTGAGCAAGGCACACGTCATGAAGTGCGGTATCGAGCAACGTCAGGTGTTAAACGCGTGCTTACATTTGACTAGCCAAGCGTACTTCATACCTTTTACCATTGGGAGTTATTATTGTCCCGGTAAGAAAACCTACAATATAAGTCCACTATGGGGTATATCGGAGAGCAGGTACAATATACTTCAATACAGACACTCTGGGATCAAACTGATTTTAACTTAGAGTAATTAAGCAGTTTTGTTATAAATAGGATAGGCAAAATAGAAGAGAATATCATAGAATTAAATGTCTTTGAAGTCAATTTGGATGTTGAATTTTCTCTTTCCCACTTTTGTATTGAGTAATAGATAAGTCAAATGAGGGTGAGTGAAATTACCAATATAAATGGCGTATATTCTCAATAGAAACACAACTAAATAAAAAAAACAAGTAAATTTATAAAGATACAATTAAGTACTGACAACAAATGCATAAATATCTACATAATAATGTATATGTATAAAAATTTACAATAACACTCACACAATAATATACAAATTGACAGACATGAATATGTAAATATTCAATTTGACAGACACATATTTTAATATAAAGATAGATAAATTGACAATTTTGATTAATTGACCTTAATATAATTATATATTATACAAATTGACTGAAAAAAACTTTAATATACAGATACACAAATTAACGATAATACAAGACATGGATATGCAGATATACAAATTGACTGCCACAAACCTCAATATAAATATAAACATGTGAATTAACAGACACGGACTTTAAAATGTAGATACATGTATAAATGTAATTGATGATAATACAGACGTGAATATAAAGATATACAAATTGACTTAGACAAACTTTGATGTATACCAAGTGACGATAACGCATACATTGATATATAGATATACATATTGACAAACAAAGACTTCAATATATCAAAATACAAATTGACAGACGAATTCTTTAATTCATAGATAAATAGACAAATAAATTGACAGATAAAGGCTTTAATATATAGACATACATATTGACACAGACGTTAATATACGAATTGACAG